AAAAAAAAAAAAAAAAACTCACTCTTAAAGATGTCTTTACTAATCTGTACTGAAAATTTCTGACCAGTCCATAATATTATAAACTTTAAAATCCTGTATATAATCAACATCAGTGATCTACAAATCGGGCTAGTCGCTCTTCCAGGCAGCCCTTCTAGGCGCTCGGGCGGTTGCAAAGTTAGTGATTAGGCACTCTAGGCGACGTCCTAAGGGTCCAAGTGCGCCCATATAATTTTTTTTAACATTTTTTAAATTTATTTTCAAAATATAATACAAGTACATTTTGATTTTATACATGAAACGTACAATCATTATCAAATAAAAAAATTATAATCATGTGATTAAAACAATAATTATAAGTATATATTATTTATGAAAATATTTGAAATTAACCACACTAAATAGTACTCCCTCCTATTTTTTTTAAATGTCATTCTAGCCTTTTCAACTATTTGCCAAATAAATGTCGTTTTGGATTTTTTGTACATATTTTTCTATTATTACCCTCATTTGGCCAATAAATACATTACGTCTTTTCATATTCACTCTTGACTTTTTCTCAAAACATTCATCTCTATCTTCATTAAATAAAGTTATTATTGACAAAAAAAAATATTCTTAATTAGTGTGCAACTTCTCAAAACGACATATATTAAAAATAGGAGGTAGTATATTTTATGAAATGTATTTCGTAAGTTATGCATAATTTCAAATATAAGTTACTTTATTAATATTTTAACGACCCTGCATTGGCCCCATCTAACCTGCTTAGGCGCCTAGGCACTAAGCCTTAGTCCGCCATCTAGCGAGCACCTAGCGCCTAGCGCCTAGCGCCTTTTAAAACCTTGATCAACATATATTGGTTTTCAATTATTCAATATGCACCGCTTCCTAAATTAATAGTCTCAATATTTATATCTTGCACAAGTTCAGTAATCAAAATCAAGAGGGAAGAAACCGCCACAGAATTATACCTACCTTCGTCTGTGAAGCTCAATTACACGATCTGAGAGGTTTTTGCCTTCTTTCATTGTTCCCCCTTTGATTTTATCAAACAAATGAACAAGGGATTTCCTATGAACAAGAAAAAACATAATATCCAAGTAAAAACATGGTGTAGACATTGAGATGGACTACAAAAAATATGAAAATATCTTGCCTGTCAGGAGAAATGGTTTTTCTGTGTCCCAGAAAACGACGATGACCCTCAACAGCCCTTGCCATGTTGCCCAAGTAGGTCGGGATGAATATATCACTTTCAACTGACACAATATAGTCGAGAGCTGCCATTTGTGATGCATGATTGATGAAAGGCTCAAGTTCTTCAGGCGATGCCAGCTTTTCCTGTAAACACCAATGGTAGATGGGTGGACATCGTTTGGAGTGATAATCAAAATATACAAATCTTACCAATTATTTATAAATACAGAAGCATGAAAAACAAAATGTTCCCAGTTTGGTGGGGGGTCTGTACTTTTTTAGAGGAGTTATCAATTATTTTTTCTGCAATTAAATCTAGCCAATGAAATCCACTCTAAATAAGTCAAAAAATTGTTTGTGTTCACCAAAATCTCCAGTCTTGAGCAACTCAAGAGATAAAGATAACAGGGAAAAAAGAAAAAATAAACTACTTGAAAATAATCCACCGCGCAAAAAAATACTAAATATAAAATAAATTTTCATAAATGACTTGAAGAAAAATTAAATAAATCACCACCAACCAGTTTATTTTTGCCCGACTACACAAAACCAGTATATTCAGATTCAAAAGTCATTGGTATTATTTAGGGGATGATTGGTAGGCGCTCAAAACCAGTTTTGATCGATCAGAAATTGACTCACTCACTTTAACTCAAAATCTAACTCAACCTCATTATCCTCAACATTATTAATATAATTTATATCAATCATCTCTCTCCTACATCACATCAACTTTAATTTACTATTCATCCACTCACATATTTTAAACTACCTATTACTTTCATCATCTCTCCTACTTTTCCATCACATCAACTTTAAACATTACATTTTAAATATTATTTAATCACAATCTCTCTCATCCCACTCACTCAACTTTACTCAAAATAATTCACTTTAACTCAAATTAACTCAAGATTCAATTTACGATTTTTACTGGTTTTGACTCCCTACCAATCATCCACTTAGCTATCAGATGATAGTGAATTATAATAGCTTATTTGGCTAGCAGTTTGTAAATAGTTATTTGGTAAACAACAGTTGGCATAACTATTAAGGAACATTTATATTGACATCTTATTCTACAAATCTTCTCTTCTCAAAACTTTGAGCTTTTTCAAAATTATCATTTTTTGCCAAAACGCTAAAAAATAAGCTCTTTATCAAATAATCTAGAAATTAGCCAATTTGACGGGTCAAACCTCATTTCTATCAGCTAACATTTAAACGAGTCCATTGTCATCACTATGATTAGATTTCATTTCATATCAAAACCTGAAATCATATTGGGTCAAGATTCATATCTTTGGAGGTTAATGGAAGCTCATGCACTAAGCATAACATCTGAGTAATAATCCATTCACAAGCATCATCTACTTGTAGAAACGCGAAGTGAGATTTAAAGGACAATACAACACATGTACCTTGTTCATTAGAATCGGATATCGAGCCCGAAGGTCAGCCATACGTAATTCGCCCCCATATATCTCTCCAGAAGCAATATAAATAGGGGTACTGGATGGAAATCCAAGAGAACTTAGGAATATTCCAACCTCATTTGGTGTTAGCGGACAATAGCCTTTGGCTCTCTGCTCTATAGGGTCGATATCCTTTACTTTCCACCATGTTGTGTTCTCTCTAAAAGTTCAAAATGAATAAAATAAGAGATATACTGCATTAAGCATCAGACTAGTAACAGCAGGCGTTTTAAATGAATTTACCAAGATGTTTTACCTGATACTTTTTAGTTCCTCTGCTTCTTCTGAGGATAAATCATGGGTGCAGCCACTAAAGGCAAGCATGTCCTTCTCAAACCGCAAATGCAAAGCTATGTATTGACCATAAGACCTCATTCGATCCACCAAAAGCTACAAAGGAAAAAATATAATAAGAAAAAAAAAAAAAATTGTATGCAAGTACCACCCATAAAGGGAAAAATATAGACTCCACCCCCTGATATTTGTAACTCTGAAAATGCATAATTCTTGGGGTTTGTCCCGTCTTATAATTTGCCCATATTACTTTGAAAGTTTACAATATTTTTTGTAATTGCATAAAACTTAGGGTCATTTTTTGCAATCATCCTAAACATAAAAGGACACATTTTAAGGCAGGCCAATTTTAGAATTCATTTAACTGATAAATAGAGTAATAATTACCTTTCCCATCACCTCGATCTTAGGAGCAAAGCGAAGGGCCTCATAGCAAGCACGGCAACGCAACTTCTGAATGTCGGGAGGAAGGTTATTGTTTGCTAACCGAGAATCTGACTTCACTGCTCGAATTACCTACAAGATGTTCCCACATAAACTTGTCATCCAAAAAAACTTCCAGAAATACAACAGCTCAACATAATTTTCCAGAGTACCTGATATTCATCCCACAACTTTGTTATTTCTTCCTCATAGTATTCTGCACCTGCCCAGCTTCTGAAATGTTTGCTTGCCCTAGTGGCAGTTGCCAATTCCTTCGGGAGCCTTCTTACAATTTTTACATCAGCAGCCAAAGAATCGATAAAATGGTACTCATCAAAGACTTCCGAGAAGTTGCTGCAATTTGCAGCAGATAAATTATATTAGGAAACACTTATTTCATGCTCAAATGCATTTGATCATAACGACGTACAACTTTTAACAACATACCTCGAATCTTTCCAAAACGAGCGTTTATCTAATTCAGGAATGACAAGAGTTGCATTTATAAGACGCGCAACAGCAACCATGTCACATATCTGCGAGAAGGAATTCTATTATGTGCACGTGTTGCCAAACATACTGCTTAGAAGTGCAATCACTAGATATTAATCCCAGTGCACAAGCTTTTAACAGTACACATTTGAAAATCAGTCTTCATCAATGTTTGCAACATATATGAAGTCTCAATTTTTAAGTGAATGCATCAGTTAAGCTCAAGAAATAAGGCATGCGGAAACCATGAACTACAGTACTCTCGACACAAACTTTGATGAAGTACATGCTGTAGCAGATGTGATTTTGAGTTAAGAATATAACTCTAACAGTCAGAGACAATGTTGCATGACAAATATAAAAGACTGAATAACATAATGGGTATTGCTTAAGTCACTAATTTCATGTGTAGACCACATTCAAAATGAAACTATAAGGGTGTCACTAGAACAGAAACTTCATAAGCCTTCTCCATTTTCAGCTCCCAGTTCATCATAACTCAAAAACTATGTTCTGCTAACATGTAAAAAAGGAACAAACTTTATATTTGAAAAAGAAAAATATTTGTGACTCCCAAAATAATTTTTTCGTTTTTGCTTAAAGACATTGGGGTTATTATATTCCAGTGGACATAACAAATGGATTGCTAAAGATAAAATGCACACGGAGTAAAATGCCTGCAGTTAATAAAAGAAAACATGAAACTTGCATGCTGGAAACAGATAAGAGGGCATAAATGTACAACGAAGTAACGTAAACACAAACCCCTGCCCTCATCTGGTTAAGGCCACCATTTGCATGTACCAGCAAGTAACCTCGAGATTCCGGGTGAGCTGAAAAGGCAGACGGTAGTATAAAAGTAAGCCCCATTAAAAAATATAACATAATATTACAAAGTACACTAAGTTATGCATGAGGATGATAAATACTCTTAACTGCACTTACTTATGTAAGATGAACTTGGTTCAGTACAATGTACATAATCTCTGTTAGGTGGCCTCTTCCACAACTTGTTCGAATCCAAATGCCGTCTTGCACTATCCAACTGTCATATCTTAAGGAGTGAAAACATGAAAGATGCATAACTACATTTTATCAACAAATAAATATTATACCATCACAACAAGATCAAACCCACACGTACAATGCGAACAACCAAAGGACAAAAGCATTTTGGACAACACTAATGTTCTCTAATGTTTCTCCTCGAATTAAGACATTACAAAGACTCAGCAGCAAATACAGAAAATGTTAGTATGTTCCCAAGAGAAGTTAAAACCTTATGAGTGGTGAAAGGGTTTTTCAAATGAGGAGCAGCAAGCTCTTGCGTCCAGCTTCCCTCTTTGCTCAGCTTTTGGTACCCAGTCTCATGTTGCTACAAATATTGAAACCCGGCAAAGATCAGCACAATTATCCAATTTCACCATACCGATCTTTCCAGATTTAGATCAATATAGAAAAATAGAAAATTAGCAAGAACGTGTAAAGGATCAATTAACTTTGAACTAGCATTTAAGAACTCAAATTACTAATCTTCACTTTCAGAGGGCAATTTAAGCCAAATCCACAACACCCCTCGAACAAAAGGATGATCCTAGTACAAATTAAATCACAATAAAGACACGCCACACATCTTGGCACGGAATGCAGAACACCCAGAAGCCAAAACGGACAAAGACAAAGAAGATGTCAACATTGTTTATATCTTTGATCGAGACAACTAAAGTCCACGGACAGCCAAAAAGAACACATGATAAAACAGTAGAAAATGAAATACATATAAATGAACATTAAAATGAAGAACAAGAGCAGACCGAGGGGAGCTTGTGTACAGCGTCAGCAGGCAATCTGTTAGCTTCCTGAACGTGCACATAAAGCAGCGCCACCAAGGCTATAGTCCCTATGGCGCACATTAGCAGCCGCCTCAGAATCAGCACTGTCCGCCGCCTCCGCCTCGCCACCGCCGCCATTTGCTTACTCCTTAACACCAGTATCTAATTATCAGAGTAAACCTCTCCTATTCTTCCAATTTTCCTCAATTGTTAATGTGTGCGTGTGTGTGTGTGTGTGTCAACAAATAAATGCGCATCTATTATCTTGTTCTTGCCGTGCAAAAGATTTACTGCTTTTATCATTAGTATGATATTCAAGAATCCTATGAGTGACGATGAAGAGCAGTAAAACCCTAACTGCGAATTTTTTGTGGAAATTAAGGGGAAAAAGACTGTTTAGGAAAACAAAAGTTCACATGGTTTTGGACCCTTTCATTTGATTGAAGAATATACAAGAAGAATATAAAAAATAGAGAGAATGAAAGAGCTTGGGGTACAATTTTTTTTTTTAATTGATTTTTATTCTGTATATATTATTTTGACAAAGTATAAAGTAGTAAAATTATTTATTATGTTATAAATTTTAAATTGATTTTATTGTTGTATTTATATTTTTTCGTACCAATATACTTCATATAGAGTAAAATGTAGCATAAACGAGTAGATATGAAAATTAAATTTTGGCATAAGTTACTCTATGTGGAGTCACAGTTGGTCTTGAACTTCATAAGGTTGTAGGCAAAATGTGTTAAATGTTCCATTTGGTTGT